GACCATTATTGAGGGTCGCCCGCTCTAATCCAGTCTCGGTTGTTTAACCAAACAACTAGTGCTCCGTTAGAACATGTGCACTCCCATGAAACAACCAGATGAATACTTTCCCTTGTACATCACATCCATCAAATCCCTTGCTCAAATTACCCCTGATGTTTTCTTCCCTTAGTAATAACTAATCCATCAATGTACCGATAACCTGAAACTACAAAGGCACATCACCACGTGACCCAATCATAGATGGTAGGCTCCCCCACTTAGCTTAAGCCACAATCACATAAATCCAAAATCCCACAATGACTCCTCCTCCTCAGCTACCATGATCCCACACCGTTGCTTAGCCAAATTCCTCATAGGTTCTTGTTGGACTAATTATAACACATCCCGAATTATCCGACATAACCGTACACTCAACCTCCTAACCTTCGTACCATCTTCTTCAAGCGATCCAAGCTCACCTCGCAGTATATTCATCCCATGTTGGGCAGAAAGTAGAACTCTACGCAGGAACCTCATAAAAAATCATGCAAGCGCTAACCTGCCCACATGAGATAGCCCACATATGTACCCTCATCTCGACCTCCTCTAACGACATTACTATAGTTGCATCCATCATGAAATCAACTAACCTCCCTGGGTCCGCACTGATCCGCTATCCGTAAGAATCCCTTCATTCATTAACATCACCCAAAGGTCCCAACGTGTTTGAAACTCGAAGCCGTATTGCATCCAAGACAATGATCGAATACTTCACCTTTTCCTATATTCCAATCAAGCCCTTCTCGTCACATTCAAAATTCCTCAGCATAGAAACCACCTCAGAGTTTATCTGCCTCGAATCTTCAATACTGGAAACGCCGATCCGATCCTGAAGTCACATCGCACAACCATCTCTGCTAACTTCCTCTTAGGTTCCACCTCACAATACTATTTCCAGAGGGAAACAAATGAAGATCAACATGCCGATGAGCCTCAATATATTCAATCAAAGTTGGCAACACCACAATATTAACAAGAATTCCACCAAATTTTAAAATATCAAATCTCGACCGTAGGCAACACCAACACTCAGCTGAAGTGACAGAACACCCCTCCATAAGGCGATGATTATAGCCCACTCAAATATGCATGGGGAAACACCTTGCACAATATCTACGGTACCTCTACAACTCCTCGATGCCCAATTGACAACAAGCGCTCAACACCGTATAAAAATGAGTAGAAAGGAAATGAAGGCATAAGCCTCAATGGAATCAAATCGCACGAGGAGGAATCAAGAAGGGAAGTGATCCTAACAGCTGTGTAGCCTCTCGAAGATAAGTACAGACGTCTCCGTACCGATCCGCAATATTCTACTAGACTTGCTCATGACTCTTGAGACCTAAGTGAACCAAACGCTCTGATACCAAGCTGTCATGGCCTAAAATTCACTATAGGCCGTGATGGTGCCCAACGTCGCTATTAGGCAAGCCAACACTTAGTTATTCATTTTATTATTTTTGAAATCATGAATCTTATTTAGATAGAGAGGTCAGTGCATTAAAATAAATCATAATTACGTACAGTTTTATTAAAATAATAAGTGAAAGTGAATTAATTTAAAACAATCCATAAAAAATTCTAGAACACCCCCAAAACCCGATGTCACAAGTGCACGAGCATCTACTAGAAGGTACAATGACAATACAACATCTGTCTGGAAAATAAGTTAGACAGGAAAATGTAAATAATTCTGATGGAGACTCTGTATGATGTGGATCGTAACCTGGGATGTATCTCACCGTAAAGTCCCTGCAATAGCCGCGCCTTTGCACCCAAAAGACCACCAAAAATATATACCTGCACAATAAGTACAGAAGTATAGCATGAGTACGTAAATCAAGCGTACCCAGTAAGTATCTAGCCTAACCCCGGAGAAGTAATGACAAGGGATTGACATCGATACTTACTAGTGGTCCAATAAATCAAGTATAGTAGAAAGTAAAACAAGTATAAGGCATGGTAAATAAACAGTGTAAGCAAATATAAGTACGTGGTACGATCTTCATCTGAATGGTAAACACTGGCTCTCAATTACCAAATACCTCCTTAATCGGAGTATATATGTATATAAAATGGTCCCCACCAGATAGGTCGTCACAATTCAAATTAGGAAAACTCATGGATACACTGGCTTCTTGTTAAATATTACGCATGATTCTGCCGAGGCGAACGGTCTGATCCCATAAGAGTGTTTCATGAAGTTGCCGAGGCGAACGACCCGATCCCATAAAAGTATTTTATAGAAATGCCAAGGCGAACGACCTGATCCCATAAGAATATAATATTGCCGAGGCGAATGACCCGATCCCATAAGAGTGTTTCATGAAGTTGCCGAGGCGAACGGCCCGATACTATAAGAGTATTTTATAGAAATGCTAAGGAGAACGGCCCTGTCCCATAAGAATATGATACTGCCGAGGTGAATGGCTCGATCCCATAAGAATATGATACTGCCAAGGCGAACGACCCGATCCCATAAGAAGATAATACTGTCGAGGCGAACGACCCGATCCCATAAAAATAAGAAGCTTTAGCGGGTCCTTGACCCTATCCACGAATAAACGTGTGAGTTATAAAATTTAAAGAAGCTTTTCAATCAAAATGCACAACGCGAGAGAAATTCGTAAGGGAAGCACAATTATTCCGTGGCTAATCAAGTAGCTCGTGAAATCTCTACAATAGCGAGTCTATTACTGTACGCAATTCTTGCCTCAGGTCGTAACGCGAAATCAAGTAACTAAGCAGGCAAGAATAACTCAACTAGTAAAATAAAGCATGGCGTGAATCCTAGTCTACCCGGACATAATCAGAAATTCTAGCATGCGCACGGACGCTCGTCACCTCATACGTGTGCAGCTCCCACAACATGAAGCATATAACAAGAATAACATCTACGGGGTAATTTTCCCCTCACAAGGTTAGACAAGAGACTTACCTTGCTCCGAAATTCCATAACTGGCTCCAACGCCTCTCTAACACCTTAAACCGATTTCCATCAATTCAAAACTAGTCAAACAATGTGCAAATCAATCAAAATATACCCAATACATACAATTTAACAATTTATAATGATTCTCAACTCCCCTCGAAAAGTCAACAAAGTTAACCCTCGGGCCCACGTTCCCGGATTCTGAAAATTTCGAAGATAAATATTACTCATAATATTACGAACTCAAATATATCATTTATTCCTAATTCCACTTCTAAAATTGTGGTAAAAATTCAAAATTATCAATTCTAGGTTTCTTTCAAAATTCTCCAATTTCTACTAATTTACATGTTAAAATACCATGTGTTCATGAAATATAATCAAAAGTGATTTAGAAACACTTAACCCCAAGATGTGGATGAAATAGCTCTCCAAATTTTCCCCAAAGTCTGCTCCAAGAGAGAAAATGAGATGAAATGAGCAAATCCCGTTTTGGCTAGCATAAATATTCTGCCTAGTCGATTTTTTGCACCTGCGGAACTCCTTGCGCTTCTGCGGCTCTGCTTCTGCGGAAGCTACCTTGCAGATGCGGCTTCCCCCAAGGTGCCAGCTTTCCTCTTCTGCGGACATTCAATCGCAGATGCGCATCCGCTTATGCGGAAATCACCCGCATCTGCGGACTCCCCAGCTCGAGCAACACTCCGCACCTGCGGCTCAACAGGTGCGCTACAACACCCACACCTGTGATCTTCCATCCCTAGACCACTTCCGCTTCTACGCCCCTCTGGCCGCATCTGCGAGCCCGCAAGTGCGGTAAATTCCTCGCACCTGTGATTCCATCCAGCCTCAATCCCAACCGGTTCTGCAACCCCTGGTCCGCTTCTGCGGGCTCGCACTTGCGGCCATAACCTCGTAGGTGCGATCACACTAGAAGCCTTAAGCTTCAGCAATTCCTTAAGTCCAAAACTTGATCCGATTCCAATCCGATTCGCACCCGAGGCCCATAGAACCCCATCCAGCCATACCAACAAGTCCTAAAACACGATACGAACTTAGTCGAAGTCTCAAATCACGCCAAACAACATCAAAACTATGAATCGACGATCGAAACCTTTCTTTAAACTTTTAAACTTCGTCGAACGCGTTCAAATTACATTTAAACATCCTCGAATGACGCTAAATTTTGCGTGCAAGACATCAAACACGTTATGAATCTATTCCAAGGCTGGGAACCCCAAACGGATATCGATAACATCAAAATTCACTTCAATTCAGACTTAAGAAATCCTTAAACTTTTAAAATGCCAACCTTCCATAATAAACGCCGAAATACTTCCGAGCGACCCGATACTCAACCCGAACATACGCTCAAGTCTGAAATCATCATACGTACCTATTGGAACCTTCAAATCCTGATTCCGAGGTCGTTTACTCAAAAGTCAAACCATTGGTCAACTCTTCCAACTTAAAGCTTCCGAATTGAAAATTTTCCTTCCGAAACAACTCAAGGCCTCAAACTGCCGAACGACGCCCTAGAGCTCAAAACGACCGGTCGGATCGTTATATTTATCTTCTCTTGAGCGAGGGCCTACCAAAAACATCTTCTCTATCGTACCAGGTAAGGTCTACATACACAATACCCTTCCTAGACTTTACTTGTGAGATTATATTGGGTTTGTTGTTATTGTATAAACATCTTACACAACTAAATTGATACATGCTAAGCATCTATTCATAGTAAGTTTTACTTAAAACCTTAAAAAATAGAGTAAGTATTTCGTTTATAACAATTAAACTGAATTATTTTAATGTCAAAGTGAATAATTTAAAATATGCAAGAGAATATGAACGCATAAAAGATACACTTGGTTGATAATATAGTTGAAGCATCTAATGATTGTGCAATATAACCTTTTTATGTGTGGTACTTTTCGCTTTTAACTAGCGAAATTCCTCCGCCCACAAAAATGACTTTAAACGATCCCTTCTATATATATATCTTCCAATCAGAAACCGTCTTTCCCATGGATCTCACTATCTCTCTTTCAACTTCACTGTCTTCTTATCTCTGTAGCCTATATTGCATTAAATTATATACTACCAGTTCTCTTCTTGTTTTTCATGTTAGAAAAGTCTCCTTCGTCCACACCCACATATATTGAATCTGACCTAAAGTTAGCCAACTGTCAACCCATTTAATTTTCTTATATCTACCCTCTATTATCTTCTTCCCCAAAACGGGAAAATTATATTGAAGCTAATTCTTCAACACCAAGAAAAATACTGTATTGTTATCAAGAAAACATTCCCTTTAATCAATTTCGAAATGAATCAATGTGTACCTAGTTGGGAACTTGACGACACTCCCACTCCTCCAAAGCTTCCTCTTCAAACCCAATCCAATTCCTTAGCCCCTGATGTCCCATCGTATGTACTCTTTTTTACTCTTTCACCATATATTTTTTTCAAGTTCAAGATTTTGATTCAGTTATATACAAAAGCTTGGTACAACGGGGCGCACCAACACCTTTTGTTTTCCAACTCCATCTGCATGAGCATAAATTTGATTTTTTAACAAATATATATACACACACACATATTATCAACTTAAATCATACTTTGGATTTACCGACTTAAAATTTTAAATTTGCAGATTGGATTATGAAGTAGCTGAGCTAACGTGGGAAAATGGGCAGCTAGCAATGCATGGATTAGGTCCTCCACGGGTGCCTAATAATAAGCCCATATCCAACTATGGAGGCACCCTTGAATCAATAGTGAACCAAGGCACCCGATCCGTCCCTCACCACCACCAGAAATTCGCTCTCGATGGGAGCGGACACGGTGGGGATGAGGTTGTCCCTTGGTTCAACTACCACCATGTCGTCGCCGACACTCCTCTAGTTCCCGGCTCGCTCACTATGGCCAAGGATGCCTTAGTGCCATGTTCCGCAAATTCCAACTATCACCGCCGACCACCATCCTCCGTGCAGGTGCCGGGGCTTGATGGCTCCACACATGTGGGGTCATGCAGTGGCGCCACTAACAACAGAGACTGGATGGCGGCGCCACTTGTGGGAACGGAGCCCACACACGAGGGGAGCAGCCGGGCAGATATGAGTGTAAGTGGAAGCGCAACGTGCGCGGGAGATAGCCGCCAATTGACAGTTGACACGTATGATAGAGAAATGGGTACAGGAATGTACACTTCTACATCTATGGGGTCACCGGAAAACACCAGCTCCGACAAGCAGTGCACCAATAGGACGGGGGACGACCATGATTCCGTTTGTCACAGCAGATCTAAGGCATAATATATGAGCTTCTCTTTGTGCATGCATATTATTCTCGTTGTGTTATTCTGCATGCTTTTCTAATTAATATCTTTTTTCATTCAATTCAACATGCATGATTCTATTTTATAACTTAATTTTATTATGATAATAGTTGAGATGAGATTATTTTTTTAGAGTTTTATCTATTTAATTAATCTTTGTGATTATTTATTAACCGACAGAGGGAGGTAGGTGATGAAGAGGATGAGAAAAAAGGATCTAAAA